GTACACTTACAGCATAGCTCAATTTGTATTAGCCACGGTTCAAGTGCTCAAGAGCCCCATGAGGTGAGTGGCTACTAGACTGAAGAGCGTACATTTAGATTTCTTGCCTGAAATTTGAGACATCAGATAGAAACTGTCCTCAACATTTGGCTGCCTAATACACATAAGATATTTTCCTTCTCCTGGCTCTCTATCTCCAAAAAGAGATTATCTCAAAGCCACATGCTGCATTAGTAAAAAGTGTGAGCTTTGGAGCAAAGCAGACTGAGAGATTCAAATACCAGCTTTGCCACCTTGAGTAGTCCTTTAACCTCTAGAAGCCTCAGTTCCTCCAACTATACAATCAAGGAGAAATTAGCTAACTTGCGAGATTGTTGGGATGATTAAATAAAATAGGAAGAATACAGCATAGCCAAGAACACTACAGAGGGACTTCAAAATGTTTATGGAAAATTTCAATTGAAAGATATGTTTATCAGGGCCAGTGTTGTGGCACAGCAGGTAAAGCCACCACCTGTGCCTGCTTCCCCATGGGTACCTGTTCAAGACCTGGCTGCTCCCTTCCCATCCATCTCCTTGCTAATGTACCTGGGAAAGCAGAAGACAGCCCAAGTCCTTGGGCTCCTGCACCTATGTGGGAGATCCAGAGGAGCCTCCAGGTTCCTGGCTTTGGTCTGGCCCAGCTTCGGCCGTTGCGGCCATTTGGAGAGTGAAACAGTAGATGGCAGACCTTTCTCTCTCTGTCTCTTGTCTTTCTTTCTGTAACTCTGAGAGGCAGAGAGGCAGAGAGAGGCAGAGAGAGAGAGAGAGAGAGATCTTCCATCTGCCGGTTCACTCCCCACATGACCACTGCAGCCAGAGCTGGGCTGACCCGAAGCCAGGATCCAGGAGCATCTTCAGTGTTTCCCATGTGGTTGCAGGGGCCCAAAGACCTGGGTCATCTTCTACTGCTTTCCCAGGCCATAGCTGAGAGTTTGATTGGAAGTGGAGCAGCCGGGACTCGAACCGGCACCCATAAAGGATACCGGCACTGCAGGCAGTGACTTTACCCACTACGCCACAGCACTGGCATATAAAAAAATCTTTTAAAAAAAGATACACTTATTTATCGCAAAGGAAAAGACATTTGAAACTCACATATGGTTTTTTTCATACGTGTATTTTCCATGAACTTCTGATATGAATGGATTTAGATTTTTTTTTTGCTTCAAAATAAACTTATCTTCTAATTCCACTTTTTCCACAAACATCTTGAAGACTCTCCATATAACAGGAATTTGAACGATAACTCTCAAGTTGATTTCTAAAGAGCCCATCTCTCTGGCTGTGGTTTTATTGCTTCATTTATTCCATTTCAGGATTTTTTTTTCCTTGAGGTTTCTTCTGTTAAGGGTAGACCTTTCCCCCAGATCATCATAGGCCTGGCTTCTTTTTTTCAAATGCAGGTTATGGACATTTTCCATGACTTGCCCCTGAGCCTTGCTACCCTATAACCCATAGCTTCACTTTATTTTCAGCATAGCATTTATCAATATCTGAGATGATCTTTATGTATTTGTTAATCCACCTGTTACCTGTTACTCTAGCTTTGAAGTACCAGAAGACCTGGAATCTTGCTTGATTTTTATTCCCATGCTGTCAAGTGCCTGGCACAAAACAAGAGCTTAGCAACTACCTGTTGAATATATAGATGAATACCTAGCTTAACACAGGGAAGTCAATGGAAATGATGCCTTGATTCTAAAGGTGAGAGAGAATGAATATGCAGGGAGCTATTGAAGGGGAGAGGGAGCGGGAGATGGGAGGGTTGCAGGTGGGAGGGAAGTTATGGAGGGGGGGAAGCCACTGTAATCCAAAAGTTGTACTTTGGAAATTTATATTTATTAATTAAAAGTTAAAAAAAAGAAAAAAATGTTTTACCTAGGAAGTCAGTGGCAGAGTGCAAACCTCACCTTCTAAGGGTAGGTCTGGCTTCTTTGGAGTCTAGTAGCTGGACTTGGGAAGGGTCAGGGAAATTATTCACTATTTCTACCTGTAAATATGTGTTACAGCCAAAGTGTGTGCTCATACCAGTAAATTATGCAGGTGATTTTATTAATCATGTCTCTTGGAAGAATCCCAGTGGAGTCAGCCTGATGCTACATGGTAACATTGGGGAGCGTGGAAGCACTGAGTAGTGGAAAAAGAGTGCCTGTAAAGTCAGACAGACCTGGTCTTGGATCCTGGTGCTGCCTCATGCTAAGCCACTGGGCAAGTTATGTAAATTTCTCTAAGCCTCAGTGTCCTTCTCTATAAAGCACTGAATGACAACTCACACCCTGCAGTGTTATTATGAGAATCAGTTGAGGTAATGAGTGAGAGTGCTTAGTACATTTGAAGACTCCACAAAGACTAGGTGCCAACATCATCATCAACATCATCATCTTCGCATGAAAGAGTGCTTTGCCAGGATATGCTGATTGATCTTTGGCTCCTTTGTGAGTACCCAATTTTGTGTTATTTTCCTGGTATTTCTTGGCCCAATTCTAGGTCATTTGCCAATGAAGGGCCAGGACCCCAATGAGACCAAACAAAGTTGAGATTACTAAATCTATGCCAAACTATGAAGGATAACAATGGAGATATTTCTGTATATAGAGACAGTTTTGGCAGTATCTGGAGATGGATTCAGCCATGGGACTTTGCCTGTCTCCAAGCCCAGCTGTTTGTAGTCACAGGCACAGATCTAGCTCTTCTGTATGGGCCAAAGGGAACTAAAAGAAGGGTCGAGAACCCATGCCAGTCTGGACATATTTAACTTGCTGGCAAGACATAGTGCTGTGCTTGTCATAACAGTAAACCTGACTCTGTATTCCAACCTTTTCTTCCCCTATTCATCCTTGAGAATAATAAATCCAGAACAGATTCTGTTCATTCTTCTGCTAATGTAAGCCCCACAGGACAGAAGTCTGCTCTAAAAGCCCGAGACTATTGAACACTTACTCATAACCCACATTAATATTAATATTCACAGTTTATCATCGACTATGGGCCAGATTTGGCATATTTTCATTCTCTCAACAGCCATGCAAGAAAAGCAGCATTGTTCTCCATTTAGCAGACAGGGAAAGTGAAACTCAGAGTTCAGTGACTTGCCAAAGATTAAAGCCAAGATTTTGAAGCCCAATCTGTTGAGTTCCAAAGTATCCTGTGTTTTCTGCCACACCGTGTGGTCTCTAAAAGGTACAGGTCCCTAGTCCTTTCAAGGCAAAGTCCAGAGGTCCACAAAGAACAGTGTTTCCTAGTCAGACCTTGCACTGGGGAGCAGATCTTTCTTGGTTTCCCAAAACAAAGCCTTGGGGCCATGGTCTGACTTCCAGCAAAGTGACTTGAAAAACACCCTGCGATTTGGACAGCCCCACTTCGGGCGGTTCCCCAAGGCTGTCTATAGGCCTGAAAACTCCAGGTGTAAAACCCATCACACTGGGAAAGGCATTAAAGGAGCTGTGAGGAAGGAAGGAGGGCTATGATGCAGTGAGGATCAGAGAGAGTGGTCCTGACAGAGGAACGGCATGTCCAGGGCACAGGGCACAGAGAGAGGTTGGTGCATCTAGTGAATTGCAGGCAGCTACCAGGGTGGCTCTTATCTTTGCAAAGTGTAGCTCACCCTAGACCCTGAGAAGGCTATCTATTACCCAGGATCAGCCCCCCAACTGCCAGTAGGGGGCTACGGGGTGGTCTCTATGGCTGTCCTTAGAAACAGGGGACTTTCCCAGGTGACCCTCAGGGATGGTATGCCCAATTTGATGTCTATTCCATAAGCACATTTCCATTTGCACTCCCTTGGAAGAGGGCTTGTTGCTAATTCTCCAAACAACCCATGACCACCAATTTTAAGGAATCACTGAAATAAAAATTTCCATCTGCTCTTTCTGGCACTATTCAGCACTTCTACCCCATTAAACATTGCATCTCTCTATTCATATATTCTCTCCCTCCCTCCCTTCCCCACTCCAATTTTCCTAAATTGTAGAGTAAACTAAGTCCCAGGAAGGGCAAATGTCTTGGCCAAGGTTGCACAGCCAAGGGGCAGGGCTAGGATTAGCAGCACTCCACCGGCCACAAACAGGGATTCAGGAGAAAAATCTTTGCTAGCCAACTTGATGAATGAAAACAAACAGATTGGTTCAGATATGTAACACCGTTTTGCAAACATTTGCAAGTCCAATTATAGAAAACTCTTATGCTGCTTGTCAGGAGGACAACAGGGTATCCCGAGGATACAGGTAGATGTCACTAAAAGGATCTTTTTCTCTCCCACAGAGCCAGAGCTGCGCCTGGCATACCCCTTGCCGCAGCTCTCCAGTTCCCTGAGAGTGACTCCCCTCTCTCTCTACCTCTGTGGCTCTCCCATCTAGCAGCCTTGCCTGGTGCACCTCCGCTTAGGTAAACCGTGCTGGCCCAGGCTGCTTACCCGCTGCACCCACGCTACCTTCCGGTCAGCACAGAGAACACTGAACTTCCCCCGCTGGACAGATGGACGCCCTCCCAAGGAGGCGGACACAGCAGGTGGGTGGGAAAACTCCAGTCCCACTGTCACCACATCACCTGCTGACCCTCTTCTCTCCTTCCTGCTGTATTTTTTCCCTGTCCATTTTGTCGTAAATCATGTTCATTCTGAAAATCCCACAATCACACCGAAACTCCTTGAGCGTGCAGGTGCCTTTGAAACAGACCAAGGCGTAAGGAGTCCGGTTGTCAGCGCGCAGTCCGGGTGGCCAACCCCCTTTTGGGGTATTTTTAGTTTCTGTGTTAGGGGATATCCCAGCTATCTGAGCCAGGACCCCGGGCTTTTCCAGTCGCTGCTTGCTCCGCGACTTGCTGGCGTTCGCTTAAGCAGCCCGCGCCCGGCACCGGACTCGCTCCCCTCCCGCACACCCGCCTGGAACCCTCAACCAGGGAGACAGATCCCACCCGCGCCGCCCTGCCCTGTCCGCACGCCGTCTGCCCTTGGGACTCACTTTTGCTGGCGAGCAAGATCTGCCGTATCAGGCCGTGAGCACTTGCTGCGCTGGGACGTGGAGATCCATTGTGTGGAAAGCTGTTTCGCGAACAGCCGGTAAAATCCAGAAAGGAGGGGGAGAAGAGCTAGTACGACAGAAAGGCCAGGGCGGGAAGCCCAGCCCAGGAGCAGTGCTGTCTGGGGCTTTCAGCTTCCGTGGGCAGCCCGGTGGCTTCTGCGAGCAGCAGCTCAACTCGGTGCACTTGTCCACTCTTTCTTCATTAGAGGAGGAGTCAGGGTTGCAACATTTACGTTCCTTGCTGGAGGCGAAACAGTGATTTTCTTCAGCAAGCAAAATGTCCAGAGCCTGCCAGTTTTACAAGGTGAGGGACGCGGTCGGAGGAGCCGGAATGCAGCGAAGATGTGAAGAATTCACGGATTCTCCCCAGATCAGATCTACACGATCAAGGCCACGCATCTTGCGTTGACACTGTAGCAGAAAACACAGACAAAACAGAAATAATAATGTCTGAATCGGTCGAATGACCTCAAAGATGATATTTCTCTTTGCTGCCAAGCCATGGAGAGAGCCTCGGTGTCAAATTTCTTATTTCCCAGCAACACTGAATGGCAGCTTGACAATATTTGTGATGGGGGGTTGGGGGCTCTGGGATTTCAGTCTGACCTTCCCTGAGGAGGAGGAGGAGTCAGAGAGAAAGGGGCAAAGGAAAATCAAGGGTCAGTGGTCCAAACAGGTTTGCTTTCTATTTTTAATACCGGAAGTCCAAACTTCCAGGATGTGGAGGTTTATTCCCTGTCACATCAATTGTAGTCGTGCCCAAATAACCCACACTTTGTTGTTGTTCACAAATACATGATTTATCTACTTATCTTTTCTAGTAGGGCTGGACGTTCTGATGCTTTTTCCTTTTTCCTTTTTTTTTTTTTTTGGTTTGGTTTTAGTATTAACAAAACCACACACAACCACCACTCACTTTTTCTCTTGCAAAAGTACTGAAACAAATAGTAGTAGCAGTTGCCTGAATCAAAGAGTTATCCTTGAATGAGTAGGTAGCTAGTGTCTGTTTGATGTCACTAATTAATATTGCACCTGATTGTTATGTAACCTGGAGGGTGGCTAGGGAGATACTTTGAATAAAGGCTATTGAGTTTCAAAAAACAGCTGCAGGAACCCTGGGCTTCCCCTTTGATTTGACTGCTGCTCTGGGGCACCTGGCGTTGAGCAGGTAGTTGCTGCTTACCAAGCCTCAGGGAGCTATTGCAAAGCCCATGACACTTTGATGGTGACCCTTTCGGATTGGGAGCCCAGAAGCATTTCTGCAGGCACAGTTCCTAACGCTGCCTATTCAATGACATGTCCATATGCAGTTAAACATAGATTCTGTCTAGCTCTCTTAGCCAATGGGAGATGCAGTTTTCATGCACAGTCTGTACACAATTCCTGTGATGATCTAGGTACATTTCCTTCCACTCATGGATGTGCATGAAGGCATGCAGTTTCTGTTTATTTTCAAAACCACTGGAGGGCTTGAGAACTTCAATGGCATAGTACAAATACTCCTTGACTTCATATGAGGTTATATCCAAATAAATCCACTGTAACTTGAAAACATGGTGTACTATAGCTTAGCCTGACCTTCTTTAATGAAGCTCAGAACAATTTTAACAGCCTATGCTTAGGGAAAAATCATCAAACACAAAGCCTATTCTGTAATAGTGTTGACTATCTCATCTAACTTATTGAATGCTGTATTGAATGGCTGTATGGTATACTTTTACACCATCATAACACCACAAAATTATAAATCAAACCATTGTTAAGTCAGGGGATTGTGTCTATTTCTATATTATCTTTGCAAAGCAAAGACTTGCTCAGTTTCTTTTATAGTTGTTCTAATCAGACTATTTTAACAGATAGTGAAAAAAATCACTCAAGGTGCGTCTAGACTGTCAGCTCTTAGAAGATTGAGACCTAGGTCTTCCCCCTTTCAGGTGCAGGCAGCTCAGCTCACCTGTACGTATGGCTTACAACAGGTGACAGATTGGTTGTTGAGTGACTAATCCCCACTTTAATGGGAGAGAAGGCCAGGGTTGGCTTTCTGTTCTATTGTACAACACACCAGCACTGTCCCTTAGTCACAAACTTTCAGTGTCAGTGAATTATCTCATCTGTGCTGCTGAGATGAAGTCTGCAGGGAGCCTTAACCCACTTCTTGTCTGCTCCACAGCTGTTTCATCATTGCCTCCTTCTCCATACACTATCCAGCGCCTACCTCATTCTTTGTGTTTTCTTGCTGCTCTTCTAAATGTGACTCAGAGAAAGTATGCCTTTTTTTCCAAGATGACTGCTCCAGCTGAGTCCTGAATCCATATCTGTGCACTGTCTCCAAGCCCCAGGCAGAGGAGGGAGCCCTGGCATTGGCATGGGGTTGGGTCCTACTAACCATATGGCTTCTCTGAACTTCACTTACTCACTGGAGATCAGACACGGGAACATATGCTCCAGAAGTCCAGTGAGAGGAATAATGATGGCGATAGCATGTATGAAGTGCCTCCAACAGAAACATCAAGTTCCTTTTTTCCCTTCCCCTTTCCCCTATCTTCCTGGCATATTTAATCTTTTCTGCACATGAAGCTTCTTCATCTCAGCCTATAACTTCCTCCACATATTCCCTGACCCTGCTAACTTTTGGGTGGCTTAAAAAAGTTCATTCATTCCTTTCTTCATTCGCCTAACTTGGTGAAAGAATGATCTACACACATCAGCTTTCCTGCCCTGCTCCCTGTCCCATGCCTTAACTCAGTTGTTCTCGACCAGCTACACACTGAAATCATCTGAGGTGGCAATTTCAAAGTCTAACTCAGCAGGTTTAGGGTGGGGCTCTGACTTCTCTCTTTTACAAAGCTGCACAGGCAGCTGCCTTGAGTCCTTCTGTTCCCTGCCCTCTGCAGCTACTGCCCATCCATTGCACTGAGCTGGGTCACCACAGGCCTTTCTGCAGCCTTCCACACTGCTGCACTCCTCTTGAAGCTCTCACTCATTGATTTTCAGGTCCCTGAGCCTCCCTGGTTCTCTTCTGTGTCTGTCACAGCCCTTCCTTCTCCTCTTCTTTAAGTGGGGATGGGTTTGTCATTGGTCTTTCACTTTTTCTTCTTTGCTGAATATACTCCTTTATTTACAAAAGGAGAAAAATGCCAAAAATATTAAAGAGTAGAAAATCACCCAAAATCCCAGCACTATTAAAAAAAAATCTGAGGGCCGGCGCTGTGGCATAGGGGGTAAACCACCTCCTGCGGTGCAGGCATCCCATATGGGCACCAGATTGAGACCTGGCTGCTCCACTTGCAATCCAGCTCTCTGCTATGGCCTGGGAAAGCAGTAGAAGATGGCCCAAGACCTTGGGCCCCTGCATCCATGTGGGAGACCCAGAGGAAGCTCCTGGCTCCTGGTTTTGGATCAGCGCAGCTCTGGCTATTGCAGCTATTTGGGGAGTGAACCAATGGATGGAAGACCTCTCTCTCTCTCTCTCTCTCTCTCTCTCTCTTTCTTTCTCTCTCTCTCTCTGCCTCTCCTTCTCTCTGTGTGTAATTGGGACTTTCAAGTAAAATAAATAAATCTTTACAAAAAAAATCTGGGGTAGGCATTGTGGTGCAGTGGGTTAAACTGCCTGTTGGTTGCCCATGTCCCATAGTGGAGTGCCTAGTTTGAGTCCCGGCTGCTCCACTTCCAATCCAGCTTCCTGCTAATGCACCTGGAAAAGAACAGATGATGGTTCAAGTACTTAGGTTCCTGCCACCTGTGTAGGAGACCCAGCTGGAGTTCCTGTATCCTGGCTTCAGCCAGATCTAGCCCCAGGCTCTTGTGGGCATTTGGGGAATGAGACATCTAATGCAAGATATCTTTCTCTTTCTGTCTGTTTCTCTTCTTCCCTCCCTTTGTGTCATTCTGCTTTTCAAACAAATAAATAAATAAATCTTAAAATAACAAATCTGTATCTTTTTAGTAAAAAGATCCTCCCAAGTAACACATCCTCTTTCTTCCATCTAATCTCATCTCTAGAAATAACCACCACTAACATATTGGTGCATAACTGTCCTTTTTCATACGTGTATGTAGTCACATCTCTATCTGCACAGGATATCTTTAAAACTAAAACTAAAATAATATCCATGACTTGTTTCTTTGAAGTTTAATGTGATTTTTATATTCTTAGTTACTATCCAGAGATTTACTCCAATATTTTAGTAGCTGCATAGTTTATAATTTACTTAACCATTTTTCCATTGTTAGATCTTTGGTAATTACAACTTTTTAATAAAAAGTTGTCCGATTATCTTTGAGTATATTCTGGGATAGATATCTAGAAGCAACATTTTTGTGGCAAAAAGATTGAGCATTAAAATTTTGATCAATGACTGCTGCCAAACTGCTCTTCAAAAATGTTGTAGAGGTTTCTAGAAATGAGATTTTGAGTAATAGAAACTAAATTTTCATCTATATTTCCATGTTTTATCCCCAAATGTTTATCAATATACACTCCTGCCAAAAAGATGTGTTCTCTCAAATTTGCCAGTCTAATAAACACAATATTGTGTCTGGTTCTTGTAATTACCAGTCCTGTGATTTGTAGGAGGTTGAGATCATGTGGTTATTACTATTTGAATTTTTCTTTCATGTTGTGTTTGTTCAATCCTGTGCTCATTTTTGAGAACATTCATCTTTTAAAAAATATGGTATCTTTTTATTGTCATAAATATTAACCCTGTGTTAAATGTGTTTATAAATATTTTTCTGTGTCTGTCATGTTTCCCTTGATTTTGTTTGTGGACTTACTGCAACAGATTTTTATTTTCATCTAATCAAATCTGTCAGTTACATTCTATTAAGCCTTCTGGTTTTTCTGTCATGCTTCTTTGCATTTAATATTGTTAATTTTTTTTAAAAAATAGATCTTTAGTAATCTAAGAATTAATTTATAAATACTACATAAGGTAGAGAGTTTTGCTTTGCTGAATGCATGGTCAATTACTCCACAATCTTACCCCTAAAAAAATCCATGGTTTCTCCACTGATTTTTCATGTCACATGTTATGCATTTTATTTCCATTTATACTTACTGTATTTTTTCTGAACACTATTTGTATGCCAAAAATGCACAATTTTGATTACTATAACTAAAAATTGTATATTATTATGATAACTGTTATTGCAATTACCCTATCATTCCTTTTAAAAATCTTCTCAAAAATATGACACAATTTATTTATTTTTTTTTTTTACAAGATTTACTTATTTGAAAGAGTTACAGAGAGTGAGAGAAAAAGAGAAATCTTCCATCTGCTGCTTCACTCTCCAGATAGCCTCAACAGCCAGGGCTGGGCAAACAAAGCCGGGAACTTCTTCCAAGTTTCCCACATGGGTAGCAGAGTTCCAAATACCTGGGCCATTTTCTGCTGTTTTTCCCCGGC